TCAAATAAATATTGTATCCAATAGTCATATTAAAGATCTGCTATTTTTATTAACATAATATCAAAAATCCTAATTATGATTTCTTGTGATAGACCAAAGCCGACTTCAATGCACCGTTGACATCCTTTGACTGGAATGAAATCGACCCAACACTGGCAGTAACATCAAGTATCGATACCACTTGTACCGTTTGGAATGTAGAAACAAAACAAGCAAAAACGCAATTAATTGCTCATGATAAAGAAGTATATGATGTCGCATTTGCCTCAGGTACTGTGGATGTGTTTGCCAGTGTTGGTGCCGATGGGAGTGTGAGGATGTTCGATTTAAGGTTAGAGACTATTTTTTCTTTTTAAAAAAAAAAAACAATAAAAGATAAGTGTTTCTTACTCGAGATTTACTTCTTAATCCAGAAATCTAGAACATTCCACGATTATTTATGAAACTGTTAATCCACATCCTACATCCGTGAATGCTACTAATCCAGTACCACCTTCCCCTTTACTTCGATTATGTTTTAACAAAATGGAGCCTAATTACTTGGCGACTTTCCATATGGATTCCCTAGATGTTCAAATATTAGATGTAAGAGTTCCTGGTGTTCCTGTTGCAGAATTAAGAGGTCATTCAGCGACTGTCAATTGTGTCAGTTGGGCACCAAATCACACTGGGATTCTGTGTAGTGGTGGTAAGTTCATCTTATACAATCAATGAAACATATTAATAATTTTATGCTAATTATGAGCATAATTCACCTTAGGCGACGATTCCCAAGTTCTTGTCTGGAATATTAATGGCGTGCAGATGGGAGGTGTTGGTGCCAAACCATATAATAATGATCCTATCTTGTCTTATAAAGCTGATAACGAAATCAGTCAGCTAAGCTGGAGTTCTAGATACCCGGATTGGGTAGCGATAGGATTTGGTAATACCGTACAAGCTTTGAGAATGTGACGGACAATAATTACAATAACTCCACATGTGCCACATTTAATATAAAATCATTTCAAAATAATTATGATAATCCATTTAACAAATTATGTACAGGGAGGTGAACAGAAGTAATGCAACAAATATTATGTATTTATGATATAAAAAATGTCATCATTGGCACTTATGCATTCAAATTTGTCTATAAATTGATAAGCATATTAACCATATTATGAAAATAAATAGTATTTTGTTGTGTTAAATTTTGTCCCTTCCTGTATCTAACAAATCAATAAATCATGCTCAATTCACGGTTGACACGTTGATCAGTAGATCACGCCATAAAGTTATTCCGCTATTAATTTGTATATAGAAGTTTTATATTAAATTTACTATTTTTTCTTCTTTATAAATGTGTTATTAGTATAGATTATTTGTCAAAAATAGAAGCATGCTGATAATCACAACTGTTAACATGGTTATAACTTAACATGGTATATCCATCATTGATATTTTTAGAGTATAGCGACTGAAGTAAACGCAAATAAAAATAATTGACACCCTATATATGTGTATATACAGATTTTTGATTATACAGTCAACTAAATCGAATTTGATATACCAAGTACCCGATCGCTTAATTAAACTTTAAATTTTAAATTTTATTAATAAATTTATACTAAGGTTCAGCTTCAAAAAGT